TTGATACACACAAATTTGCTTACGTTTTCCACACCAATCTCTAACATCATTAACTGCAAGTCGTGCGAAAGAATGAACGATGACATTGCTCAGGAGATTATATTAATATATATCGCAATGTTATTTGACTTGAGCGACATAAATTTTATGATGGCTTTTGTTGGTAATGTACCGGTTATAATTCATTTTTCGGCAGGTATCATATTTTCTACGATTATAGTATGTAATTTATAGGTTCGGATGCTATACGCATCCGAAAACCAAAAGAAATTGACGCTTGTTCCATATCTCGAATGTACATCGATGTATATCGCTCGAAATTGAAAACTTAATCTGCTATTTTAAAACCTAATCTACTCATATAAGAGGATAAAAATGAAATATATAAATAACTTAACTAATATCAAAAATACATCAAATACAAATTAAATTTTGTTAGATAATAGAGAACAGTTTTGTATCTCAGAGTTTTTTTTTTTATAGAAAAAAAACCAAATTTTATAATTAACTATAAAATTAAATTTCAAATTCTAACAATATTAAATTAATTTAACTTATAATATTTATTGCTGTTAAACTTATTTAAAATTATTTGAAAAATATACTCATTTATATTTGAATCTTGAACTTTTTAATTATTCTAAAATTTGTTGATATAACATTTGGATATATATTTGTTATTTTCTTAAGAAAAAAATCAGTTCAATATTAATCACAGAATTAACTATTAAGCGTTAATGCGATAGTGGCACATAAAACATATTATATTACGCTCAAGAAAGTTGTTCAAAAGTTACTTACTGTTTCCTTGCAAACTCCCATGTAGCAAGAAATTGGATTTAACGAATGAAAGGCCAATCCCGTTGAAATTCATTAAACCGACGTTTCACTACGAAACTTGCGTCATTAGTAACTCGCAAAAGAATGGAAACAGACTTATACATTCATAGTTGCCAAATCAGCCAAACTGTAATCAATGTCGCAATATTGTAGACCAAAATGCCAGATTGTCCTGCCATAGAATTGCTGAATTTCTTCCTTCTTAGACAGATAAAGAAAAAGTTTTTGTAACTTGTAAAGAATAGTTTCTGTAAGTTTATGGACTCTATCAAAAAATCTCATATTCTATGTTACTTGCTTTTATGCAACGTTCTATGTCCGATATTATATAAAAATGTCTTTCATACCATTTTATGTATTTTTCAAGAATGTTATTTTAAAATATTTTACATTTTATGTACAAACTATACATAGAAAACGCTCCATTATATCCAAACTTTCTTTTCTCTTGACATAAAAAAGATATTAGTAGTAATTTTAATAATTTTCTAAATATTTTAATTTAGAATAATCACGTTCTTTCAAGAGAGATAATATAGTAGACTGTATTAAAGACAATTTTTTGATTTCAGCTGCATTCTTTAGATTATAAAAAAGTAAGTACATAGCATCGACATTTGTGGAAAACAGAAAGAAGAAAATGAAAATGAATAAAAAAAGTAACAAAGTTTTAGCTACTGACTTAATCTTAAGTAATACATACTTAATGAAAGAAATTTTTTTATCAAATGGGTTGTTTTTATAAACAGATAATAAAATAACTATAATTATATAATTTTTAAAAACTATTTTTGAGAAATTTATGAAAGTTAATTACAAATATGAAATATCATTTTTATTAAATTCTAAAAATTACGAGATAATGTCTAAAAAAAAAGTTAAAGGCATGATCTATTAAATGCATACAATTTATTTTTTTATCTGTACATAAAATATTATTTAAAATGTATTTAAATATATAAGATTAGAGAATAAAGAACGTCGACTAACTACGTTTCTAACTAAATAGATCAAGACAAGTCATATGCGATAGACAATAACGTTCGTACACCTGTTTATATTATAGTATCAGTAATAATTTTATCATAGCATAATATATAAGTACTCAGCATATAATTAATGATGTTTTATGTTTTCATATTAATTAGACGTAATAGAAAGGTATTTATTATCATCTGCTATTTAGTCTGATTTCTCTGGATATCTGGTTTCTCTAGAATTATAATTTTCAGCACAAGTATAATATTGCATTTGAAATTAGCTCCGTCTTCATTTTTCGCATATCTCTTAATTTCAAACGTAATTTTGCGAAGATTCAACAAAATCAAACATCACGAGTTACATCTCTGCGTCGTAAATAGTGACTTACGCCGTTCGTAACATCGGCTTCTATTGCTCTACTCTATCGATGTCTCTATAAATTCTTTATTTTTCAAAACTTTACGTGAGCGCTATATTTCACAAAACATAAATCGCGAAAGGTTTTGGAAGTTATACTTTGATATGCGAGGTTAAAATTGTCGTAAAACAGGAAAATTCGGATAAAAACATCAATTCCATTTAACACAAAAATAAAAAATGATATAACAGACTATAAATATGTAGTTGATTGTTAAATATTATTTAAGAATTGTTGCACTCTTGCGATAATACTATAAAGCAAAATTCTCACCCTACTGTGAATTCATACAACATAATTTAACACGTAATAGTACTGTTGTATTACACAACGGAAACTTGCAATGTCCAAACTTCAGAAATACAACTGTACTATACAGAAACAAGCAACTAATTAGAATCGCTAATTTCAACATTAATAATGATAATAACACCAAGTAATCAAAAAGTTCGTTTGTTATTTTAAATTCGTATCAATGTAAATACATATAGGAAAAAAAAAGAATAAATTTTTTGATAAATCTAAAAATCCAAAAAGACATATTTATATAAGACTATATAAGCTACACATTTCTTGATGAATAACCTATTGTAGAAAATAATAGGGAGAAACTCGAAAGATGTTATAAAAAAGAAGATAT